CTCCTGGTTGTGGTTGTTTTTCCTTCTAATTAGACAACAGTTCATGGACAGAAGAGCATACTTTTCTATTGTATCAACCCATCCAGCCAATCTCTATACTTAAGGCATGTTTCTGGGACTAACATCCTCTAAAAGAATATTTACATGTTAACATTTCACTTCACTTTATCATAAGTTACAATCACTCCAAAGTTACAAATTATAATTGACTAAGGTTTGACATAAACCAAGTTCTTCTATCTGAGCACTTTTCTTTTATCACTTATGTAACCAGGAATACTTCCTCCATGAAAGAGCAACTTTATTTCCCCCCAGACTGTCTACACTGAGCTCTAAACAAAGTCCAAGCGGCTACTGCGCTTGAAACCGATTAGTAAAACACAAAGTATTCAACGTAACACAGGAGTTGATTTAAACCGATAAAAAGCAGGAAACTCGGAGCTGAAGGTAAAAGCAGCTCCTGACATGCCCCGTTGTTCCCTGGCACACTAAGACACTCATCGCATTAGGTGGCCTCGTATCTCATCTGGACTAAATACCAAAGCTGAATGCATCTATTTAAGGCAGATGTGGCCTCATCCTTAAATTTCCAGATTTAAATCACTGCTGTCCTTTGTCATTTATTTTCTAAAGTGGCAGCTTTTGTAAGAGTAACCCAAGAAAAAGAGGTTTTATATGGAGGAGGCAGTTGGAAGACCGGTATATGCTCCTCAATTGTGTAGAAGAGAATCTTTGAAGTTTAAATTTAGCAGACACATCAGCCCTGAATATTAACACTGTCTTATGAATGAGAGAAACTAGATTTACAAATAAAACCTAAAAGAAAAAAGTTATTCAAGCTAATTTTTAAGTAAATCCATTTTAGAACTTACCTGTAAGGATGAACTATTTTTTCTGTTCCTAATTCTGGCACTGACCGTGATATTTAATGTCCATCAGAACTACCCTTTCATTTTCTTCTTTTCCAAACCTCTAGATTGCAGAGCACATTCCACACTCAGCCACAGGCGAAGCCATGAAAAAAAACAAAAAAACAAACAACAAAACAAAGTTCTGCTTCAGAGAAACAAGAATTAAATTACTTGAAGGTAACTGAGGAACTATAAGGAATTCCTTGAGTTTATATTTCACGTGGTCCATTTGAAAACAGCCATATCTAAGGGAGACTTACTTTCAAATAAGTTCGGTTGTACCTTGCCACCCTTACTCGTGGCCTTTCCATTCTAGGAATGTTTTATTCCTAAGAATGACAGAAGTAACCCCTGAAAAACCATTTATCTCTTAGACTTGCAGCCTCCTTTACCAAAGAATAATAATGCCTTCAAAGTTACACAACAAGATGGTAAAGTTATTTGGAAACTGGGCCACCTAAAATTTCTCCCTCCATTTCAGTACCTCTTTTCTGAAATGTTTTCAAGGGGAAAAAATCATGAGCAGAAAACAGAGCATTTATGTCAGTATGTGCAGGTTTGTAATGTGTATGCATGACAGCACCAGGCAACAACCCCAAAATAAAATAAACAATTCCATTCATAACATCAAAAGGAATAAAATTCTTAGAAATAAATTTAACAAAAGATGCAAAACTTACTCAAAAACTACAAAACATTTTTGAGGGGGAAAAAAAAGACCTAAATAAAGGGGAAAACATCCCATATTCATGGATAGCATTAAGATGGCAATACTCCCCAATCTGATCTGCAGATTCAACACCATTATATCAAAATCCAAGAAAACATCATTTACAAGAATGGTTAAATACTTCTTGTACCTAGGAATTACTTCTGGTTTGTAGATGAAGGTTTTAGAAACTCTGAAACAGAAATCAACTGCATCAGCCCTCCATGCCTCTAGGACTTTCTTAAGGTAAATTGACTGAAAACCCACATATAAGCCCTCATATTCAAACAAGGCCCCCTCTGTAATATAACCTCCTCACTGCCAGCTTGGATCAGTGGAACAGTCCAAAGTCCACCTGAAAAAAATATGTGGGGGTGGAGTGATGGGAGCTAAGGGAAACTGGAAACAAACAAACAAAAATGCTCCTTGGCTTCCTCCCATAGCGTCAGAGATCTAAATACATAAAGAAGAAAATGCATTTTAAAAATCTTTAACCCTGCAATTTCTTGGGAAAAAATCTGCAAGGAAATTTCCTTTAAATAAATGGAACAAATATTATATTGTTTGATGTGAATCAATTTATACAAGTCATCTAACGAGCAGAATTAGAATACTGTGTACCAGTCACATTAATGCAATAGAAATGTTGCATACACTCCAGACCTAGTGAACCTCACTTCATCAGGATGTAGGTAAAGAAGTTAGCCTCTCTTTTACTCTGAAAGAGATCAAAGGTTGAGCCAAGACTAGCTTTTAGACATGCTTCCTCTGCCTCCCAAATCACCATATAAAAGCAATCTTTATTTAATAAACACACATATAGAAAATTTATGCCACTGGCAGGAATTTATTCTTCCATTAAATAAGACTACAACATTCTGAATTGTCTACTTAGAGCTGCAATTCCATTCAAAATTAATGCTCATTAAGTTTTTAACATTAAAAAAAAGACTTATGAAAAGAAAAAAATAACTGCTTAGGGGGAAAAAAATGGAAAGCCCACCAAAATAATTACACTCATTTACATTTGTAAATAAAAAGGCAGATGTCCCTTTACACTGACAGATACCACAGAATGTGCTAATCTACACAGACTCCTCCTTATACAAGACACACTGCATTATATTTAGAGATTCGACACATGAAGGCACAGGTGGGCGCAGGGCATTTACTTTGCCAAAGAGGCTCAAGGTTTTAGAGGACCATCTGTTAACGACAGGTGCACTTAGTGGCTATCATATCTTCATATTCTTTATAAGCTATTGAGCCATCAGGCTCAATGGTCAGCACACTCAGAGGGCTGTACTTGGCAGGCACACACGATGGTCTTGGCACCGAGGAGTCAAGCTGCTTCTCATAGATGATGTTCTGCACCATGGTGTGAACTGGAGAGCCATACCGATGCCCAACTGCCCTTGGACAGTCCCCTTTACAGTACCGGGGGTTATATCTGTGCGGGGCCACAATCCAGTTGTCCCACTTCAGCTGACTAAAGCTAAGTCTAAAGTCATGGAGCTCACACTCGTTTTGGGGAAAAAGGAACTGTTTGAAGTATTCACTCAGGTTGAAAGCAGCTGGAACCAGAGGCTTCTTCAATCCTGAGCTGACAGTTTCCTGTCCTCTCCGGTGACGGTGACGGGAAGATCTTACTCCCTTAGCAGCCTCTTCTCCTATAGGACAGGCAGGCAGACCTCCCTGGTCAGGAACCTGTGACGGGCTCCTTTTATAGTGGAGGGAATGCCGCCTGTGATGAGCCTGCGCACTTGTGTCGTTCAGGTACAGAAGCAGTGAGGGGCGCGCCAGGTTGAGGGGACCGTCCTGTGCTGAGGGGTGCTGCAGCTGGGCTTTCACGCATGTAAAGGTCACAGACACGTGAACACTTCTCTTGTCGGAGGCCACCAGAGGCTGAAGCAGGGCAGTCACATCAACCTCAACCCATTTGTATTTCTTTTTTAATTCAAACTGTGACTTAAAGGTAACGGAGTGTGGAGCTCTAGGGAGTGTCTTGCTGGAACTAGACGCTGGCTCTTTCAGCACCAGGTGGCACACACATTTGGCAGCGGAGGGGAAAGAAACTGAGTTGTTGTTGAAAGTATATAGCAAGACTGACTTGAGTAGGTGTTCCACGGCAGTAACTCGATCCAGGTTAAACAGCAGGTCCACTGATGGCACGGTTCCTGGGGAGAAAAAAGTCACCAATAGTGCCTGAATACAATCGAACAGAACAGGAAGTCAAGTCAAGGAATTAGTACTTTTGAATGTGCTTTCTCCCTTCTCTTTTCCCATTTCCTCAAACCTCAAAAAATGGAAAAATGGAGGGGGGGGGGAGTGTATACAGAAAATACAGGTAATTGGGGCTATAAGAAATTCCCAGCAATTACAAGTGGATATTTTCTCACCAGAAAGTCAAAACAGCTTTGGTGGTGAATTGAAATAACAGGGAATTATAAGACAGTTTAATTTTTAGAATCTTAATAATTTGTTCCAAACAGAGGACGATAAATAAGGAAAATACTATTTTTCTCTTGGGGAGTCTCTAGAGGGAAAATTATAATAAAAAACAAAACACTAGGTTTGGCCCTAGCCGGTTTGGCTCAATGGATAGAGCACCAGCCCGTGGACTGAAGGGTCCTGGCTTCGATTCCAGTCAAGGGCACGTACCTTGGTTGCAGTTTTCCTGGCCCTGGTCTAGGTGCGTGCAGGAGGCAACCAATGGATTTTTTTTTAATATATATATTTTATTGATTTTTTACAGAGAGGAAGGGAGAGGGATAGAGAGTTAGAAACATGGATGAGAGAGAAACATCGACCAGCTGCCTCCTGCACACCCCCTACTGGGGATGTGCCCACAACCAAGGTACATGCCCTTGACCGGAATCGAACCCGGGACCCTCCAGTCCGTAGGCCGACGCTCCATCCACTGAGCCAAACCGGTCAGGGCCCAATGAATTTTTTTTCTCTCTCTCTCTTCCACTCTCTCTAAAAATCATTGGAAAATATCCTCAGGTGAGGATTAACAACAACAAAAAGCCCCACTAGGTTTGTTAAGCAGACATTCTAAGCCTTAATGCAGTGGTTCTCAACCTTGGCTGCACATTAGAATCACCTGGGAATCTTTTTAAAATCCTGATTTCTGGCCTCATCCTCCGGAAATTCTGTTTCTTTGTTATGGGGTGGGGCCACAACATTAGTAACAAAGAAACAGAATTTCCAGAGGATGAGGCCCAAAAATCAGAATTTTAAAAAGATTCCCAGGTGATTCTAATGTGCAGCCAAGGTTGAGAACCACTGCCTTAATGGATGGCGTCAATAAAGAAAGCTTAATTATCTAAGTTAATTTGGAACACTTGAGACAGACAACAAATGAGGATCTAAAACCACCAAAATAAAATAGGACAGCAAGAAAGGAGGAAGGGTTTGAAATAGCCACCTCTGGCCTTTTGGGTTAAAACCATGACCTAGTGAATATAGATTTTTTTTAAAGCACTGCTCCTTTCACACACACTCACCAAGGTGCTGAGTCAAACTGATGACTGTTCTTGTGAGGACCTACTACTCCATATCAGCACTTAAGCTTTCCTCTCACAGAAAGCAACAAACAAGGGGAAAACAGCATGTGTGACAAAGCATACCAATAGCTATGAGGTATCTTAGGCACATTTTCAGGCCAGTATTGGAGAATAGAAAGAATAAGCAACTGGAAGTCAAAATACCGGGTTTCCAGTCTTGATTTTGTGACCTTGGACAAGATGCTAACCTTCTCCAGCAGCACTTTCCTCGGCCTTCAGAGCCATTACGTCTCTTCTAGCTCTAACATTCTAACATATCAGCCCCCCTTAACCCACGAGGGCGCTGGAAGAAACAGTAAGATCAAGTACCAGATTTGTTTGAATTTGGAAACTGAGTATCATGAGAAGTAAAATGCAATTCAAGAAGCAAGGCCCAGCTCTTTCTGTAACTGAAGTGCAGCCCAGTCTATCATCTTCCCTCCCCCCATTGACCAATCTGCTCCCACACACCTGTCACCTGGTCCACAGAAGCCTGCTTGTCGGGCTGGACATGAGGGGTGAAGAGCCGAACAGTGTTGTAGAGGTGACTTCTGTTGGATTTAGGGATCCCCTCCTTGGTAGCATAGGCCTTATAGAGCCTCTTCATGTAGCGCAAAGCTCTGGAGTCTGGCTGCAGCCTAGGGACCCCACCTTGCCCATCACACAGAACCTTGAAGAGAGGGGAAAGGAGGCCAGATCTGTCCCTCCCATCTAGAGGCTGCAGCAAGGCCCAAGGCTCGGCCTCAGGTTCCAGTTCAGCACTGGCTGCAATCTGAGCCTCTCCCCGAGAAGCCAGAGAACCAAGGCTACTAGGATAACACAGCCAGGAAAGGCAGCCAAACCACAAAAAGAACGTGCTGGGAAGCGCCATGGCTTGGAAGAACTAGCAAGGAACCCAGCCATACCAGTCTTCTTCCTAAAAGCCAGGAAGAACCTAGGTTGATCTCTTAAATAAATTTTAGGTGTGTGGGCAGGTAGGGTCACTTCTGTAATCAGACCTCAAGGATGCCTAGCTGAAGATAATTTTTATCAGCTGTATGTCAAACAGCTGATAACATCCTACTTTATCCTCATTAGACACGGATTTGTTTTGTGTTTTTTTTGCTTTCCTCTTCCTTTCTTCTGGCATTTATTTTAAAATCTCTTAAGTTATTGTTATACGAACGCACCAGCTATGTAGCTGAAAGGCTAAGAGAAATTGAGAAATGATCTTAAAAGAACCCTTTTTTTTTTTTAGAGCAATTCGGGTTCTTAAAATGTTCCTTAGGTGCTTGCTGAAACTTCCAAGGCACGTGAAAAAACTAACTAATTATTCATGATGATACAAAGATCTGTTGATATGCAATTTATGGTATTAGTTTACTCTTCCAGTCTCTTCATCCTCACCGCCTCTCCCACTTTCAGGTGCTTAGGATAATTATTTATCACATGTTGATTTGGAGGGTGAGAGAAAGTCCCATTCGGTATTGAAATTCTAGAGAGCAGAGAACTGTTAGGTGCTCACATCTTCCAGGTGGCTTCCATAGAATATGTACTTGGAATACAGCAACATGCTTAAAAAAGGAGGTGGTCACCTTTAACCTTGACTCATTTTTAGATATAATGTCCTGATGTCTTTGCTCTGTCTGCACATTCATCGGTACATATTTTGGTTGAAAGGTTTAGAAATGTTTGCAGGTGCTAGAAAATACATGGAAGTTTTATGTACTTACTGTTTCATTCATCACTCAAATGGTGGTAGAATTTCCTAGGCCCTAGGGTATTATGGTTCTTAACTGTTATGTTCTTGCCTTGGAGCTGAGACCAGGCTAGAGGCCATGTTTTGGGAAAATGAGACAAAGGTGCGCCAGGAGTAGCCGAAATGAGGGGCTATCCAGTGCCACTCCTAAGGAGACTCTGTGCTGCCCAAAAGGCAAACACAGCCCTAACCGGTTTGGCTCAGAGCGTCGGCCTTTGGACTGAAAGGTCCCAGGTTCGATTCCGGTCAAGGGCATGTACCTTGGTTGCCATCCCCAGAAGGGGGTGTGCAGGAGGCAGCTGATCTATGTTTCTAACTCTCTACCCTCTCCCTTCCTCTCTGTAAAAAATCAATAAAATATTTTTTTAAAAAGGCAAACACACTCCTGGTACAAGATACAAAACCATTCAGTGCAGTACTCAGGATGATAACACGGAGGTGTGCTTGCAAATGTAAGTTCCTTGCCTGCCAAGCCTCCCTAGCGTGTGGCTAGGAAGCAGGGTTATAAAACGCACCCAAACTGTTGAACGAGGCCTTGGTCTATATATTGACCACATGGCCAGCAATCCCATGAACAGAACATCTGCAGACACCGCAGCCAGGAGAAGCCAGGCGGCTGCACAGGGCAGCGGCATCCGCCAGTAGAAAGCACCTTCCAAACACACGGCAACGCCTCTCAGCCAACGTCCCTCGCCTCTCCTCCAGGAAAGCGGAGGGGAGGATGTGGGCATCACGATCATCCCCCACGCCCTACCCCCGCCAGACCTTCTCGGGGAGGAGGAAGCGGCGGGGGGCTGTGCTGGATGCCCTAGGGGTGGTCCCCTCCTTCCCTCTTACCACCACTTAACAGCCCTTGATCAATTGCTTGACAACTATTGGGGGCTCTGTGGCTGCATCTCTCCGAAATGTTTTTATTCTAACCCAGGAAAGTCTACATCCTGCCAGCAGATTCTCAGGCGGCGGTGGCCGAGAGGAGCCGGGATCTGAGTCCCGGGTTTGGTGCTGGGGCCGAGCCGGTGTCAGCTGCGGCCCCAGGCGGTGTGGGGCCGCGT